AATACAATGTAATGAGGAATACAATAAAATAAACAATTGGAATATACAAGAGGCATACCACAGTTCGAGGCATGCAAAGGTGCTACCTGCACCTGAACAAGAAAACGCGTATGTACAAATTTAGGATTGGATTACAAAATAAAGAAGAGACGTCCATCAGTAGAAAGGGACTGTGGTTCTTCTGAAGTACATGTCAGTTAGGTGAATGAAGGCATCGTATGAGTCCTTATGCTCAAAAATGCAGTCCAGATTTTGAGGAGGCCAGTTCACATCGTGTGCCTCCAGGATAATCTTGAGAGAAAATCTTTCCAATTCCATCATTGGACAGTCTATTATGTAGTGCAAATTTCCATCCGGTGTACCACAAACAGTACAATTAGGGTCGTGAGGGTATTTGAATCTACTCAAGTAAGAGTGAAAAGCACCATGGTTGGATAGCATCTGAGTAAGTTTATGGCTGGGTGAATACCATTTATTTTTTAGAAATTCCTTAATATTATTAATAAGTTTTGAAGTTATGGTTGTGTAACTATTTCAATCCATCTGCCATTCCATTAAAAGATTCTGCCAGAGCAGACTTTTGACTGTTTTATTATTCAGTTTATTATATGCGTAAGGAAGGTCTTGATTGGTAGAGGCCTCTTTGGCAAGAGAATCTGCCCTCTCGTTGCCAAGTGTGCCCATGTGCGCCCTTGTCCAGTTTAAAAAAATTCACAATTTGAAGTGTTGATTGCATCCTAAATAGCAACTGCAATGCAGTTATAGGTTTTGGTCTTTAGAAGGGTCAGTGTAGAAGCACTGTCAGAGATGATATTTATGCTTTTATTATCGTAATGACAATTAACCCAGTCAACTTTTTTACTTATGGCAAAGAGTTCTGCATGCAAAACTGTACAGTTGCTGCCAAGTCGGAATTGGCCTATGTCAATTTCTTGTTCGTCACCATAAGCAAAAAGCTGCACCCCACATTTCCATCTGCCTTTGCTCCATCCGTGTAGATTTGGATTTTGGTCTGGACAGGGTTGTCGAAGTAGATTTTACTTTCAGTTGCCGGGTGTCTAGTATTTGCAAACTTAACTTTATGTTCAATGTCGTCATAACTGATGCAAATGTCACCAATATGGACGTCTTTACCCCATTTAATTTGCCACATCCTAGTGAAAAGAGTGATTACTTTGTCAATTGGTGCTTTTTTCGCCAAAATCTGGTTAGTGGTATTCGGAATTGTGCGATACGCTTTCGTAATCTGTAAAAGGGCTCTCCTCTGGGCAGCGGTGATAATGTGAGCCTTATTAACGTCATGGCTCCAACTGCCACATGCACATGTACAGATTGGTAAGAAAATCTGGTTATAAATTGCCTCCTGGGCTTCCACAGCTAAACCCCAACGATTACAAGCGATGCTCGAAAATGCATTAAAGATCTTACCAATTCTGTCATTAATATATTCAACATAAGGATTCCAAAGGAGTCGGTAATCTAGGATCACACCAAGGTACTTGATGGATTTATCGACGTGAACAGTTTGCCCTTCCATCTTGATAGTTGAGACTCTTAAATAGAAATTTTGTTGACCCGGTTTGTTAAATACTATGCACTTTGTTTTACTGGCTTTAAAGTTTAGCTTAAACCTTTTGCCCCATTTAAGAATGTTTTCGAGTATTTTGTTCCCATTATGCTCTATGTCCCGTCTCGACCTACCACCAAACAGTACAATCACATCGTCAGCGTATGCTTTAATTTCGTGCTGACCGAAATTTTGTTTCATAAAATCATCAAAAAGGGCAATCCACAGAAGAGGACCGCAAACAGAGCCTTGTGGACAGCCCCGGACCATATCCCTGTGAACCTTATGTGCCCCACAAATTAGCTCAGCAGTTCTTTCACTTAGATAGTCCTTGATTATACCATATATGTTAGACGGGCAATTTCTTTCTCGTAGACAGAGTAAAATCATAAGCCACTAAGCGCTATCAAAGGCCTTTTCAATGTCAACACTAATCGCCATCAAATATTTATATTCCTCAAGAAGGTTTTTAGTTTTTTGAATAACTTTTTCAATGGCATCTTCGGCAGAATGTTGTGGCCTGAAGCCAAATTGTTGTTCATGAAGATGTTGGTGCCTTTCCATGTGCCAGAAGAGCCTATTAGTGATCAGTCTCTCAAGTACTTTGCCAAGAACTGGCAGCAATGAAATAGGCCTACAGTCTCCTGTTTTACCGGGTTTGAGAACCGGCACAACCCTGGCGTGCTTCCACGATCGAGGAAAGATTCCATGGTGGAGACATGCATTAAGCATTTCTAAGAGATGGGTAGGAACGATGTTCCAGAGTTGTTTAGCCAATTCTGGTGAGACATCATCGCATCCAGGGGCTTTTTTATTGTTCATGTTGGAAAAAGCGCGATTAGTCTCGTGTATTTGAAAATCCGGGGTGTTCAACGTATTAATTTTACTGTTAACTTGATTCCGTACCATTGTTAGAAATCTGTGTCCTCCTGTGTATTGTCTTGTAAACAGAATTGACTCATTTTTTCATTGGCAGCTTGGAAAAAGTCCTGCCCAGCAGTTGAGGAGTACAGTATTTGTCGTTTTTTTATTTTCTCAGTAGAGTACCGAGTAATAAACCCCAAGGGCTCTTAGCGGCTGCAGCACAAAATTTTTCCCACGATTTTTGTTTAGCCCTTCTGATTTCTATTTTGTATGTGCGCAGTTGCACTAGGAATTGTTGTTTAGCATTTGTTCTTTGCTGTTCCCTATCGCACCTTTGAAACCTTTTTCTTAATCTGATCACGGTGAGGCGATGACTTTTCAGATCTTCTGTCCACCAAGGGACTGGTCTACGCTTATTTTTGTATTTAGGGATATATAAGTTACAAGCCGTGTTGATAGTTTGGATATTCCTTTCAATATTTTCCCTAGTAATATGCGGGTCCCTGTGGTAACAATGAACAAGATTGTCATGTAGGAAAGTAGTCAGACCGCTCCAATCTGCATGTTTGAAATTGAATTTTAGTCTAGGTTGTCTGTGATTATCAGTGCTGACACCAATGTTGAATGTTATGATTGCGTGGTTTTCTAATGAGTCATTGAGAACTTTCCAACCAAAAATCCCAGGGGCACATCCAATGGAGCAAGCTGTGATGTCTATCCAGCTGTGCCCGCGACTGGAGACAAACGTAGGAGGGGATGTTGGATCATTCATAACCAAGAGATCATTTTGAGCTAGGAATTCCTCCCATTGACGTCCTCGATGATCCAATTGCTCTCCTCCCCAGGTTGGGGAGTGGGCATTAGTGTCCCCAGCTAAAACGTAATAGGCGTTGGGAAATTTGTTAATACAGTTCTGGATATTTGCAAAAATTTCATCACAATCAATGTCTTTTGGACAGTAGAAGTTTATAATAATATATCTACTGCAGTCTATGATGAGTTCCGTACAGCAAATGTATTGGGAACTAATATTTTACCGGTGAAGGAGAGACAGATCATTGTTGGGAAGTATATTAACAGCTCACGGGTACTCCAAGGTTCCAGTGAGAGCAATCGAAGTAGACGGTAAACAAGCTGGGCGATTATGAATAGTGCATGGCTCCTGACCAATAATAAAATCAAAGTTGTTCATTTTAGAAGTAAGGATAGATGTTGCGGCAATGCTTCTGCCAGTATTATATTGCATAAAACGGATTTCTGAATTGTTGTGCAGTTCCATATTCGGTTCTGTTAATTATATTTGTTTTAATTCTAATGTGTGCATGACAAGAGTTATCTCTGGCATTATGATGAAAGTTTATTACTTTGTCATGCGTACAATTGCAGCATACTGGAGGTTTGTCTTTACAATCGCAGTTCTTGAAATAGTGCTGGCCCGCACAGTGGCTACATGTTGGTGATTCCTGACTACAGGATTTGGCAGAATGCCCAAATCTGCAACACCTGTAGCAATGGAATACCAGACAGAAGTCCGATACTTTGCACCTGGACCATTCAATTGAGATTTTCCCCATGATCAGCAAACTCTTGCGCAGACTTGGTGTAACCTGGACAACTCAGTTTTTGTAATTTATGTCTATCTTTCCCATGTCAAATTTTATCTTAAATGCCTCGAAGAATTCTTCCTTGGTGCAGTTCTCATAAATGCAAGCGTTTTGACTGTAAATAATGCCCGGAAGTTCCTCCCTTGGAATTCTCTTTGACACTGAGTATATGACAACATGGGGTAGACGTTTCTTCGGTTTTCTAATTTCGTTCTGTGCGATTTCTTTTGAGATGTATTCCTGTAGTCTGTCAGCATCCTGTTGGTTCTTTGTTTATGAATGGTCCTCCTAAGCTTATTGCAGTTGTTTTCTTTGTTGTATAGGAGCAAAACTCCTGTTTTGTTTTTTGTAATTCTGGGCGACATTGCAGCATCAATAAAGCTTCCAGACTGGAGGACAGCACTATATGAATGTTGCGTGCTGCTAGGAGGAGAATGGGTACTTACTTGTTCTATTTGTTTATTTATACATCTTTGATTTATCAAGATTTCTTCAATTGGTCCGTCCTCGAAAAGTTTTTCAAATTTTTCATTTATTCTCTCCATTTGAGTCATCGGAAGTTCAAGATCTAGCCTGTTCAAGAGATGATCAATATTGTTTCCCACCTGTTGGTTAATGTTGGCAATCTTATCAAGTTTTATATCCATTTCTTGGAGCCTTTGTTTCAATTTCTTGTGATTTGCAGTGTCAGATAGATTTTCAAGATTTATTGTTAAATCTTTAAGCCGATTAAAAGAAAACTCCTCATGAAGTCTGTCGATGGCTGGTAAAAGTTTTCCCCCTAGCAATGTTTCAAGCTTCTCACAGAGTCCCTCCAATTTATTGTTGGTTGTGAATACCGTCCGTGGGGGGTGCAGAACTGGTATTGGTGGTGTAGCTCCCGTACACAAGATGTCATTGTTTTGAGAGAGTGATCTTTTCCATATCTCTGCCCCTTTGGAGGTGCACGGGGAGGCCTCCTGCTGCATAGAGGCATCTTGACTTTCTATCTCCACCTGTTTGCTATTTTCCTTAATGCTTTTGACCGCTAGGTCAATAATCTTCTGCATCTGGTCCACTACAAACTTGATGTTCTGTGCCGAGCTCATGCGTTTCTTTGAGCTCTATGCTATATAACCTTTAGATTCATGTACTATTCTGTATGCTTCATTAAAAAAAGTCTATAACGGTTTTTTCCATCTTGACGAATTTCAAACGTAGACAGTAGAAACACTAAGAGCACACCAGGATAAATATGCACTTTAAACTAAAGGTGAAGAAAAGTAGAAGAGCATTCAGAAAATAAAACCGTGCAACCTCAAACCCGTGATTAGATAAACGACTTCTGAGCGAGGGGGAATAGCAGCAAAAAAAGTAAGAGCCAACATTTTGTTGCCGTGATCCGTTTAGATGGCGTTCAGAAATAAACGATCGTCGACATTGCAACGCATTTTAAACGGCATTCTAGCCAGCGTCGTTTAATGTAGACATTGCTTTTGCAATCAGCTGAGTGTGTACAGGTGAAACAGGTAAAAAATAAACAGTTTTTTTGTGAGTTAATTTCGTCAATGTACAAAGCCCGGAACTTTTAAAATAAAGTCCTACTAATAGGATTGTCCCAGTAGATACTTATACAGAAAGGTAAACTGTATAATAAGGAAACAAAGGCACGTGATCAATAAAATTTTATCTACAAATAAACTTTCGTAAAGGGACGTACAAAAATTAATAATAAAAAAATTCAGTTATACATGCACAATGTTCTTGTGCAAAAATTTCTAAAATCAATTGTTATAAACTAATACTTCTTGGAAAATATACAATAAGAATAACTTGTAGATTTGGAATTATTTATCGATTTCATGACGAAGAAAAGCAATAAAGAATTCTTTTATTTATATTTTCTATGTTCATGAATTGAAATCAAATAAAACTAAAATAAAAAAAAAATAAAATATCTTAAATAACAAAATGAAGTATTAAAATTTGAAGTCTTTTCATTATAAACAGATAAATGGTTACGTTTTTTGTAATTTTTCAAACAGTCGTTAAATCGTAAAGCATATAATTAATTTAAAATAAATTGAAAAAAAAGACATTACCTTTCCTGATCCAACGTGACCGACAACAAGTAATAATTCTCCAGGTTGCATATTTAAAGATATCCTATTCAACGTTGGTTCGGTTCCCTTTTAAAACAACAAACAAGCAAAACTAATCTTAAACGTTATAAATCAAATACAATTACATACTAATAATTCAATCATGTTATCAAATTTAAAATTAATTAGTTTATTATTTTTAAAATAAATTATTTGTACAGTATATATCGTACGTCAATTGAATGTCTCGTAACATATTAATAACGTGACACCCAGTAAAATGAAGTCGATAAACCGGAATTTTTCAGTCACCGTTTAATGAAGTTTTGTTCTGTTATGTGAGTTCTAACACGACACATTGAGAATATCACGTGATAGGAATTTCTTCAATGAGAACGTTCTCTGAACTTGTTTGTGACTCGTTACATTCCAAACAAATTCAAATTAGTGGTAATATGATGCAATACTAGCAACGAAAATACTATTATAGAGAAATTCGAAATATTTTGTCAGGAATTGCAATTAAGATTCAAAATGGACTTGCTATACATATCCGAATCTATATAAAAAACACTTTTTGAAAAGGAAGTTGAGACATCCCTTAAAAATAATCATACTTCAATAGAATTTCTATTAGATTTTTCGACCAAATACACAAATGATAAAAAGTAACACAAACTAAATAATCTAAGCTACAGTACATTGGCAATACCCAATGCAATGATGAACAGTATGTACATATAAATGATTTTTTTTTTCAAACGACTTGCTATACATATACAAATCTAAAGGACATTGATTGTGATGATCTTCAGGGTTGGTGAACAATGCTTTGCCATCGAATTCATGTCAGTACAACTACTGTATATGACTGACTTTGAAAGAAGACTTATCAGACAAAAAAACTAATTGCACAAATCGACATATCGCCGATCATTTATGTCGGAGTGACGCTGCAATTAGACAATGCACTTATGCATGACCAAGTTCAGAGAAAACCAGGCAACGGCTCGTCTAGAGAGAAGATAGATGGAACGATAGCACTATTATTCGAGCACCTATAATAGCACCAAAGTCATCACTATCGATTATATACAGTCGTTTGCAAAAGTTTACGACGACACATAGAAAAAGCAGATCTAATGAAATTTTATTGTTGCAGCTTCTTGATGATAGTAGATAAACTTTTTTTGTCACATGGTTATCATATGAAGACGTATTTTTTTTTAAATTACTGATTGCTTGATAAACGGGTGTTTTACTCGTTTACTTTACAAGTTATTTGATGTTCAGAAAAACCGACTTAATGCAAGGTCAACATTTTCCTGTTCGTTTTGCAACAGTGAGTGAAGGTTTCTTACTCATTATAATAATTTCAGTACAGCACTATCTATGCAAAATTTGAGTCAATATCTGCTGATAAACCGTGCACACAAGTTTGTTTATACCAGCGGAATGCATCTGATGCAATCAACACACGAGATGATGTAATAATCTATGCAAATAAAGAAATGTATAAAATACCAGAAAACAACTAGTGGTCTTAAACTTTTGAGAACGACTGTAACATGTTACCAATACTAAAGTGACAATCAAGACCATTCCTAAACAATTATACTAACGGAATCTATGCTCACGATGGCCAATATGCCAGACGTCACTGACTCGTAGCCATCGTCAATAAAGGTTGCAGTGGTGAAGGGCTGGATTAATATGGAATTGTTCTGATTGAAAATGAATTGTATTTAGTGAAGATTCATTTTCCTTTTGATCTGTGTCTTGCAACCCGCATAGGCGTGTATCGAGACATTCTGCCTATTATGGACTCTGCCTTTTACTTTCGTATACTGCAAGTTAAAATAACAGCTACTCGTTTTTGATACATAAAGTTATAAGTCGATAGATCGTTGTGTCGTTTCTTTTGACAGCAGAATACTTTAGTAGAAGTAGATGGCACTCTCACAACACAGCGATAAGATCACGAGATTCCGAGACATCTTTTTTCTTAGCACCCAGAATAGCATATTATTCAACAAAGACAATGCCCAGCCACACACGGCATGCCATTTAAGTAAATGTCTTGCGATATCTTTTGTTGGCCAGCCAGAACTCCAGATCCATCTTTTATTAAGCATAGTTGTAATCTGATCGGGCATCGCCTACAATTATTGAGGAATATCACAAATTTAGCTTACAATTAAACACTGATTGGACAAAAAGTTTTTGGCATTCCATCAGCGATACACTTGTTTATATATCAATACCATGTNAAACAGATCCATCTTTTATTAAGCATAGTTGTAATCTGATCGGGCATCGCCTACAATTATTGAGGAATATCACAAATTTAGCTTACAATTAAACACTGATTGGACAAAAAGTTTTTGGCATTCCATCAGCGATACACTTGTTTATATATCAATACCATGTCACTTGCTTCATTAAATTTCAATGCTACGCCAATGTCTGCAGTCCATTTGAGAACATTCAAGAAAGAGAATGGCGGGAATAGAAAGAAAACTAAACAAAAAATGAATTTAACAAGAAGAGTTAAGTCTCCTTGTCCTTAAAAACTACCTTTTTATTAACAAGTTTTCTCACTTTACTTTTGATAAGTTGCAAATATTTTCCATTGCAATTCGATTTTCCTGTTCCTGAGTATAGAAGTGTGTATTGCTATTCTTTTTTACTCCAAAGGGAAGCAAGACAGGAAATAGATCCAAAGGCGATGGAAGAGCTGATCTTATAAAAGACGGCAAAGGATACACGAAGCAGGGATACAATGTTTTCCAGGAATGAATTTTATAGGGAGATGGTTTCTATTTAGGCGTTATTTCCAAAAAAAACCCAGAAACTCAAAGTTTCCAGCTTGCCAAATCGAAACGCGAACCAACAACCAAACTACCAGTCTTTAGGATTTGATCACTGTCACTATGAGACGGTGTCCACTCGGCCATTGGTGGGCAATTCGATTTTTTACTATTTTAAACTAATATCAGAGACCTGGTTAGCAAGCATTTTCACTTGAAATGTTTCAAGCCACAATGTTTGGTAAATTTACAATACTAATTGTGTTATATGAGGTCACGTGTACACTTGCTATTGTAGTAAAGTTAATTGATGTAAAATTCGTTATCGAATTAAAGTTATTTGTAAATTCGACACAATGTAAACTCAATATAAATATTGAGAAACAATCAAAAGAAAAATATCACAACTAATGCGTAAATAGGTGCAGGATTCTACGGTAAATTTTAATAAAAAATTTCATTAATATTATTTATGTCTCACATCATTATCACAATAAAAATTGCATCATCGATTAATAAAGTTACTTTAATTTTGTTTCAAGTAACTTTTTAAGTGAATTTTGTGGAGCAAAATCTGTATTATTAAAAATATTTTTTTAAATGAATCTACGTGATAAAGAAAGTAACACAAGAGTAATCTTCAAACATAGCAATGTCTTCTGAAATGACTTTCTGTGATAAAGGCTTTTTCAATTTAGACGTTACACACGTAAATAAAATCCAGGAAAACTCCACGTGTCCAACTCATCCGTCGAGTGTCATCCCGATACTAGCTATCAGTATTCTGTAGTGTTATTAACTTATCTACTGGTAAATCAATATGACTGTTGTTTTGGTTGAAATCTTAATGGATATCGCTAACTTTTTTATTAATTTAAAAATATATAAATTGAAAAAAACAGAACAATTAGCGGCGATCAATCATTTTTTGTAAAAATGCTTCTAATTAAGTTACATCTACTGTACTTTAAAATTATCGAATTAAACTAATCGCAAAAGTTATTATTATCATTGAAAAACTTAAATTTAAAATCAAGTCTTACTTTTTTCCATGCAGCTGTAACAGTATCCATGCGTATTTCATTTAAATTATCTTCTTCTTCTACAGTTTTGACAGCATTATTCTCGTATTCATGAAGGAGTAGAAAACCCTAAATTAAAATTTCGAAAATGTTGTTTATATTAATGGTAGTTTGTACACCACGAAATACGGTGGTTAAGGTGCTATGATATTAATTAGGGATTTAAACACGGGGTCATTAAAAAAACTTAAGTATTTTTTAAAACACGATCTATTTCAATAATGTCTAGCCTTGTGTCTAACTACCCGATTTCCTCGAGGTATAGTCTGGCTACAAAGTTAATTTATATAACAAAAGACGTCAGAACAAAATGACTAAAAATGATTACTACTTTTGTAGAAAAATTGGTTATAAGGTGTGTCATGAACGTTGAAATACGAATATTATGAACTTGTAATTTAAGTTACTATACGTATTTTCAGATTTAGTTTTAAATAGCAATATTTGTATGACGGATGCATTTCAGTTTTTTTTACTTGTAAAATTGTTTAATTATATGTATGGTACACAGATTTAATAGAATTGAATATATCGTTGTTATATGAGTCATATATAAACGTGATTCCTCACAGAGAAAGAAAATGCAAAAACCTGTGTAAAGCACTATATAGACATTTATTAGGTTTGAACAACTTTTACTAAATTTATTACCTATATCAAAAAAATACAGCACCATTAAGTTAATTTGTATTGTAAAATTGCTTCTGTCATACATAAAAGAAATATTTTTAACAGATTTTATGAAAAGTCATGCAAAAAATTTTAACTAAATGTGTCAGTATTCGAATACATTTTTAGAAAATCCTTCTTATGCTAAACTATTCCGTAATAAACAAAAAGTGTATTGTCAGAATATTGAAAATTAGTTTGCACACTTAATATTATTTTGATACAGTCGATCCCCCTATAAGACGGTAGATACGTTCCATTCTTTATGAATCCGATTTTGTAGGAATCACAGTCAATCACAGCCCAACACTTGTGAAGTTTACGGACTACGGCTGTTTGAAAAATTTTTCTTCCATAAAATTAATCGATTCTAGACTAATCCGACTCAACATTTCCAAAATACGTATATTTTTTTTTGGAAATAATCTGTATAAACTACGCTATAAACAAAAAATTGTAGGATTACTTACCGAGTGTGCAACATTCGACATCGCCGTTGCTAAAGCATGTTTTCGTCGCGGAACACCTGAGCAAACTGCGGCCGCGATTTCTGATGTTATTTTTCTGCGAAAACTTCGTTGAACTTTGGAGACATCATTAATATAAATAATTTTTATGGCCGTTGAATAAGAAATGTTTCTTTCACAAGAAATGTATAAAATTACAGTACTGTATTAGACTTAGGGTACCTAATTTACACACTGTAAAGACGGTAGTTCGCCTAAACTCTCCGTAGCGTGGCGCTACGGATGGCGGGAAAGTAGTTCCACTGCCCGACGACGTTTTACGTAATTATAGGAGTTATTTTACCATTGTGTACGGATAGCGCCACAGTTTTTTCGCCGTCTTATAGGAATCGTAATTATAGGAACCAGTCTTATAGGGGATCTACTGTACTTATTAACTTCCCCATCATGCTTACATTGATAAATATCACTTATTTCCTCTTCATTCATTAATGACCATGCTGAAGATATTAAAATTGCTATATCCAGTTTATACAATCTTGGTTTAATATTTCATTCCAGACTGTCATTTAAATTATCCGTAGAAAACTTGACTAAAAATGTCCGTACATCGGGGAGTGAATGATCTGGAATAATTTGAAATCTGTACTTAACAGATATACAAGTAGCGCAATGATTTTAACTAATATTTAATCCGCAGTTGGCTAAGTATGATTTGTTTGGGCCCAAGTCTCAATGTCCTTATGAATAAATTTAATTCAGAATATATCCTTTTTTAAAATTTATTTAACTCTTAATAAACTTTCTCATCTACTTTTATACTTTTACAGACCGACGTAGCCCATTCCCGTTTAGTCTTACTCCTCCTCTTCAAACATTTAGAACATTATGATTCAAAACTTTTCAACGGCTTAATTGCTTGACAATATATTCACATTCGTATTCTATTCGTTACCACGAGATGAAGTCCGCATTTAGTCACCATTTTGCCGTTTGAATGTGACTATTCAATCATATTTATATCACAAAAATAAAAAAACGAAAACTCTTGAAAAAAAGTTATATCTAAATTTCGTAAATATATAGCTATTAGAAAGAAATACTTCATTATGATTACTGTTTCATTTACGCAATTGTATTATTATTATTTCACATGCTAGTAAGATTCTATGAAAATAATTCAACAGCGTATGTACTCAACCTTAGAGAGATACCAGATGTACAAGCAGGTTTCCCAAAGGAAAGAGGAACACATGATTATATTGTAATCGTCCATAGATGATGGAAACAGCGAAAAAATATAAAAGATGTTGTCTATTGTATTGATCAAGTTGTAGAAGTGCCTCAAATAAATCGGTATTTTACCGCAACCACCCAGCTCTAATGATCGCTGTATACTGGTCAGGAAGCAATGTATGAAATAGTCATAAAAAACTGGTTCAAAATTAGAAGGAATACCCTCTACAGCTGAATCATTTCACCATCAATATTCACTTTGTATGCAGAGGTGGCGATGAGAAAAGCAGATTTGAATGAGCATAATATTGGAGTGAAAATTAATAGAAAATTAATAATCTGAGATTTGTAGATGACATCACGCTGCTCACGGAAAGTCAGGAGGATCTAGAGCAGTTGTTACTGAAAGCCAAGCATTAAAGTGCAAAGATAGAGCTGCTTCTTATCTACAAGAAGACAAAAATAATTATAACTGCGAATAATGCGAAAGTCAAAATAGAGACCAATTATGAAGAAATCGAAGTACTAGAACAATTTACATTCCTCGGGTCCAAAATCGACCATAATGTCGATTGCTGTCCTGATATCAGTCCTGCATAGATCTTGGACAAACTTCGATAATAAGTATAAACAGCTTTTGAAAGAGCAAAGACATCTCCCTCCAAACTAAATGCAAATTAGTTAATGCGATTATTTTTCCTATGGCCATATATGACTGTGAAACGTGGACTATAAAGAAAGAGGACAAAAGAAAGATAGACGATTTCGAACTGTGGTGTTGGTGACATTATTTATATTATAACCTCTGTTCTCTGCCTGATTATGCATAGCGGGATCAAAACATGCTTGTATTATACATAAATAAATGTTAATGTAAGAACGAATGTTGTGTTGGAGACGGCTTTTGCGCATCCCATGTACAGCGAGGATCACCAGCAAAACTGTTTTAAACAGAATCTAACCAATGTAATGAAATCCCAGATCATCAAACAGAAATTGTCCTTCTATAATCATATAATAAGAACTTGAGAAAGCGGTCGTGCTGGGAATGGTTAGCAGAAACGAGAGCGAGGTCGACCAAGGATTCCGTAGTTTTACTCAATTGAAAAAGACACTGAATTGTTTATAATTGAAAGAGACCGTGCAAGATAGAAAGGCATGGAGAGCTTTGACCGATAGTCGAATACGACTAATCAAAAAGTACAAAATAAGATTATTATTAATATTTTATTATATTATTGTTCTATGTTTTTTTTTATTGAGTTATGTATGTATGTCTCTTTAATCCGACATCAAGTTCGGTACACTATCATTACAGCTCTCAGGTCAGACACTTTTTTTTATTGTTTCTACATATGCATTTCGGCCGTATATAAATGCTGCCCCTCTTCAGTGCAATACTATGGTTTTGTCTTTTAAAACCACGGTGTATAGCGGGTAACATTGGAAACATACACCGCTATACACCGTGGTTTTAAAATACAGAACCATAGTATTGCACTGAAGAGGGGCAGCATTTATATAAGGCCGAAATGCATATGTACAAACAATAAAAGAAGTGTCTAACCTGAGAGCTGTAATGATAGTCTACCGAACTTAATGTCAGATTAAAGAGATATATACATATATATATACATATATACGTAGATCATAATAACAGCTACCAAAAATAATATTTTTAATTGAGTACAGTTACCTAACCGTTGTACCAATAACGCAAGAATATTGTCCAAGAAATATTGCCTTCCTTCTTTCAAAGTAAATCTTATAATATAATCGGAAATTGATAATAATAATAATAATAATAATAATAACTCTCTCGTGGTCACCACCTTGATGTGGTGGGAGATTCCAGTAACTTTACTGATCCATAGAGCAATACAGGCTGCAACACAAGGAACTTGTAGATTCCCATGCCAGTAAAGTATATGGAGTGTAATAAATCTAACATTGATCACACCCACATTCTGTGAAGATATTTATAATAGTAGTAATCAGATGTATGTGTGATACCGACTCGGACTTTGTCAGGGTGAATACGGTTTGCGTTAGGCAGAGGCTCACGATCGAAAAGAGGCCACAGTCTCCTTTCGTTACTGGTGGCAATAGCAGCGCCGGCCCAAGCATGACTACTGCAATGCCCTCAACAGATGAGAGGAACCAACCTATCCCTGGTGTTTCTGTGACAATGCATAAACATACCACAAAAGCTGGAAAACCATGCCAATGGATGGAATGGACAACTACTCTAAGATTGACACAGCAATATCCTCACTTGACTGTCGACGAATCAAGAAGTGTTGATTAAAAAAGAACAATTATACACAACAACCTTGTCTCACAAACAACACTTGAACTTATCAAACAACAGGTTGCTGATCAAATACAACAACAGACAGAAACATGTAACATTAATGAAAATCACGCAACCTCTCATGATAATCCAGCAACAAGCACTGATTATAGCACACACACACACACAACTACAACTACATCTAACAGGCACATCCTCTTCGGATTCTCACAAATATCGTATTAATAAAAAACTAATCTATTGATTAAGTATGATATTAAGTGTGGAAGGGAATTTTTAAAATTTTTTTCCAAATAAACACGTTTGCTATTAGTCAGTGCAACTAGTGCTTAGTAATTAAACAGTAGAAAGTATTCAGATATAATCCGTATAAGCTTATAGCGTCAAATAACATTTAGCAAGCTAGTGTTAAAATTAAAAGATCTAAGTTTTTTTATCAATGGAACTGCCAAAGTGTATTTAAAATGTCCGCATATTATGCTGGGGAAGCCAACCTAATTAGTATCCAATATTTATCTATGAAGTAGGCTATAGAAAACACCGCATCAATAATAACCTTTCCTATCAGGTCATTGATATAATGGCTTGGCCAAACTATAAGCATAAAATGACCTATTTTATTACTCAAAAGAGAAGCAGAGTTTAACAAAAACAAAAACGTGAACAGTAAGTTAGTCTTCAAGCGAGAAATTTTAATCGCATAGCAGTGATAGTGATATAAAGTTATTTTGATATAATTTTTCGAATAATTTTCGTGAATTTTCTTAAATATCGCGTGTTGCTTAGTTACAAACTTCTGCATACAATGCAAGCTGACGTTTCTGTGTAACCTTATTCTAATTGTATGCAACTAATTTTATTTGTTGCTTATTTATGAAAATTTAGTTTTTATAAACTTATTCGAATCTTGAAAATTATTAACACTTTAAAGTATTCAACAGAAATGTATGGATTAAAACTTTTATCGATCAGAATGTCATCTGAATGTGACATTCGTTAATGTGAGTAAATTCAGACTCATTTTCAGAATGCAGTTTCTATAATATATAGTGAAAATAGAAAATAAAACGATTTCATTTACAAGTGAAACCTTAATTTCAGGCATTATTCAGGTTAAATTAAATTTTCGTATCTATCCTTAGCATGTTCGCGTGGGAAAGGTTTTTGGATTATTACATAACTTACCATAAAATGTTGTCTATTCAGTAGACTTTTCCTGCTTATATTGCAGAGTTATTCAAGTTTCGTTATTGACAGGTGTTAACATTTGATATTTTCAATTACAATAATATTACTAATTAAATATTGTCATTCTCAAATAATTTTTAAACTAGTATTGCAGTAGTTAAATTACAAAAGAATAGATATGAAACTGTTTATTACCTGTATTCTCTTCAAAGAAACCAATATTTCTGCAAGAAAACTCATAGAATGAGAAAATAGACCAATTATGTTGTTCAAAATGTACAGGGAATAAAGCATTGTAACGAACACAACTTTGGCATTTAATTCTCCTCCAATTAATAAAATTGCGACAAATGACAGAAGAGTAAATAATTTTGATATAGGGTACGCCAATATGTGTGATATTCCGTTTACATATAAAAACATTCGAATTGTTTTTATTTCTTTCCTAAAATATAAACAATTATACAATGTTAATCACACAACTCTGAAAATATTTATTTAAAGATTAACACATTAGCATATAGAAATTATATTAAAATCTGTGTAAACAAGAATCAAATATTGTTCAATATTTTTATCCAGTTTGTCAAATTTATATTTCGATCAATGTGTTTTTTTTTGTTTTTTTAAACGTGCTTTTGAAATATTTTTTAATTTTTAATTCATTCGTCTTATTCAGATTCCGTTTTACACAGGTTTTTCTGCATTTAATTGTACTTACAGTCTGATTTTTTCTATTAATGCAGCATATGGCAATTCCCAGGTGTACATTTTAATTAATCTCATATCAGCAATCATCTCGTTTAACAAATTCAATCTTTTGTCTGCCAAAATAGCTGCTTGTAATCTATTATGTAATTGAATTTATAAACATATATTCTGGAAAATTGTAAAAAACTAAATTCTAAACAAATAGATTACATTTAATAATAATCTTATATTAAAAGTTAGACCTCCATTTATCAAGTAATAATTATTACAAAAGAGTCGTTTATGCTACTCGAATCCCTTTTTATACTATTTGGAACTTAAAGATTATTTCACGTATTTAAATTTAATCTAAGTAAAAACTTTATCAAACTTTTTAAGAATTTATTTAGTTTATTGAATTTATTCACTTCATGCTAAAAATAGAACCGTTTAATCGTAATTTTTCGATTGTAGGGCAGAGTAGAAAATAGAAAAGAAATATCTGTAAAATTTTGTACAGGAGTATCTCATACACGAGAAATAACTTTTCAACATTTGTTATTGTTTATTGTCACCAATTTTCCTTCCTGATTGATTTAGGTGCTTGAAGCCTTATCGGTTTGGCGTCTGGAAAGCAAAAGTAAACCTGTCACTTACAAAGAGAAAGCCAGTAGTTCCTGTCTTCGATTCGAAGGGAACTTTGTGAGCACGCAGCCTTAAACCAAACAGTTCCTTGTCCAAATAACAGGATGCACTTTTCCGAAATATTCAAAAAAGTGGCCTCTGAAAATTGAATGTCTAACTTAAAGAATTTGAAAGTTTCATGTTTAGGAGTGGCCATAGCCAAGTACAAGGCAACGTTCTGTAGCGAGTCGATGTTGGTTCGAACCTAATGAATCCATTTTAATTTTTTTACGTGTGGCATTATTTTATTATTATACTGAATAATTAGCATTATTGTTAGTATTATTGTTCTTCGTATTTATAATTTATAAAACAAAAAATTAAAAATTGTGACGTTATTTTTTGCTGAAGAAAAACACGCCTTTCTAAATATTCGCATAACATTATTAAATAAAATTTTCTGCCTGCTTATTTTCAAATTCAGTGGTAATACGATACTTGAAGTGTAACAAAGATAAGACGTAAGAATATTGATCATAATATTAAAGATTCAAAGAACAAAACGATGCGACTTCGCTATGCCATTCTCATACCTCATACCACCTGACTTTTTCGTCCATTTGCACTAACGTCGGAAGCTTATTCCCTTGTAAAGACATCGTTGTTTGTTAGCAACAGAAATATTTTAAAATAATTTTTAATGAATAATTCTTAATAACACATTTTATCGCAATGTGTTGAATAGTATTTCTCAGGTTTTGTGATTTTTTTTATTTATTTGTCGAAACCCTGTCTTCTTCTTCTTGTTTCGTTTCGTTCAATAAATCTAAGCATTGAAATTCATAAAAACTTGCTACAACTATTAAAATAAAATGTTTATACAGTCGCAGGCGAGGCTGTGTGCGGCACCCTGGTAGTGAGTTACAAGTTTAATAGGCATGCGGGGGAGGCGGTCAAGTCAGGAGGGAAGGGAAAAGGAGTGGGAAGTACGGAAGGTGCTTGCATACACAAGATTCAACCTATCTATGCAACAGAGTGAACAGGGGCGAAAGCCCGATCTGTAGCGTATCTGTTTGGATTAATTAAAAGTGGAAGTTGAAGTTATTTGCCAAGTGTCAATAAATTCACTAAGTCGTGACAAAGGTTCTGTGATGTCAAAAATTTTGCTTTAGTCTACTGAAAAATATCGAAATGAAAAAACTCATCCCAAAAAGTTCTCCAAACTTTCTGTTAGTGAATAAAAAATCTTTAATTTGGAAACGTTTGTTTGCATTGTACAAAACTATGTTCGGTTTTCAACGTCACATCTTACTTTACTGCCCGAACTTTGCTAAGTGACACCATGAATCGCTGGGTGTATAATGCACAGGATTCCCATTGTACGGAAGCTCGAGATTTTTTTGCTTTTCCCGAAGTATAATTAGTGATTCAGTTTCACTTTAAATGTCAATAGAAACGAACTCGGGATTTTATCGTCACGTACTATCGCCAGTATTATATTTTTATCGCCATTTTAATAAAAATAGCACCATGCGGCGATTTTGGCACTATGCACCGCGAACCATGCTTATTATATCATTTCACAAGTCTAAAAAATAAAACTAAACAACGAAACATATTTTAATATACACAACAGGTATTGTAATTTAAGTAAGAAAAAACAGTTGAATTGCCTTTTAAAGTTTTTATGCTACATAGTTCTAATATATGTTCTTTTATCCTGGTAATTATCCTCAGCTCGAATGCTGCAAATCTAGAAACTTATTATGAATTGAAATTAAATGATCGCGTCACGAAAACAAATAATTGTAACTAAATGAACAAATATCAAAAAATAAATGATTTAATCACAATAATAAACACAGAAAGTTTAATCTCGTTTGAAACCGCCATGGAAAGTTGTCCAGTGTAGGGGAGATCGGGGCAACTTCGGCATGCGGGGCAAGTTTGTCAAGCGCTTTTTTTAAAAAACAAATTAAAAGGAGACTTTGGTTATAGGTTAGGCAGTTGAGTTTTATTGGTGGCTTGTTGAGTGTAGTGTTTTTATTGTTCTCCAACAAGCGTAGTTGAATTATCANTGTAAACGTTCCAGAAACGTTGAAAATAGTTCGTTTGACTGGACGTGAACAGGAAACGTTCAGAAATAGAATCGGGACCAGGTCTCTAATTAGTCTGGAAACGGGGGACCTAATTCTTGCATTCTGTGAAAACGGGTAAGATTGGTATAATGTAATTGTCTTAATCTTCACTATCGTTACTTTTTGCCCACAAATAAAAACCCAGCGAAGCAGGTCCTTGCAACTAGTATTACATATTTGTGAAAATTCGAAAACGCCTTTTTTGTTTAAATCAATTTTAACCGAAACAATAATATCGAAAGTAACATTTTATGATTTTGAAAGAAAAAGCATTATTTTTACAAAAAAAAAGAAGCTGTTAAACCACACTTCCTCGCCAACGGAAGTTGAACATTCTTTCTCTTTTTCCCTTATCCGTCAAAAATTTTGTCAGCAAACTGAGAATCAACCCTTCTAAATTTCCTCACTCATCGTGTTCACGTGTTAAAAATTTTACACGCTAATTGAAGGAGAACTTTAAAATGTAACGATTCTTTCCCATTGTTCGGGGAGTGCGCCAGAACTTCTCAATGTAAGAGGACATATTCCATTTGATTCTCCAAAGGCGTAGGCGTATAATCAGCAGTAAGCCAGAACTTCTAGATGTAAGATGTATTCCATTGAGTCTCCCAAAACATAGTGCCAATAATCGGGAGTACGCCAAAACATCTCGATGTAACCAGATGTATTCCATTTACTCTCCTAAGGCGAACGCTTGAATTTTCGGAGAGACGACATCCTTTCTTCCAGCCAGAAGCCGTATTTTCTACGAGCCATTAACCTTCTCCATATGAAGAAATAAAAAGAGCAAGATGATAAAGTTGTCGACTATACAACGAAATATTTTGACAATCCTGACAAGAATGCCGAGAATCTGGTGAGGTAGTATAAACTACAAGCATTGTAATCTCTCTGTCTCTTTTATGTTAGGAATTTTCGTAAACTGTAATCCTGATTTATTTTAATTTCGTTTTATTAAATATTTTTGTTTTGTTATTTAAAATATTATTTCTTCAATGACTAAAATCTATGCCTATGTCTAAACCACGTACTTATGTCCCTACTGACTTAGGATATTGGCAGATAGTAGAACCCAAAATAAGTACTGGAGATGCTTCTCTCATAAATCAACCTCCATATTGCATACCCTATGCTCAGCGAGAGCAAATGAATGAGATCATTGATGAATTATTAGAAAATGGAATAATTGAGCATTCTAAATTGNCATTACTGTTGCCCCTATACCAGGGGCAACTTTAATAAAAATAATTAAAATAATTACAACTTTACAAAAAGAGAGAAGTTGCCGATTTTGCCCCTATACCCTGGGCAACTTCGTTAATTTCTCTCTTCTTGTAAAGTTGTAATTATTTTAATTATTTTTATTTCCAAACTGATTTTAACCAGTTATATAGTAAGGTAACATCCCAATAGACAATATGCAAAGTCTTTTTTTCAGTTCACAGCAGTATTTATTACACAAAATTTAAGTGAAGCTTAACATGCCGATCTTGCCCCGATCTCCCCTAAATGGTGTCTGATAAGCGTCCACCCCGGTATTGAAGAAGTTTACGGTGAAAGAGTGGAGTTTCAAACTTTGAAAACTTAAGTTATTACTCATCATACTTTAATTTTATTTTTAAACATTGACAAGTCTTTAGCTTATAACGTTTAAGCATTTATCTGCTATCTGCAAAGTTTCTATTTGTATCGCAGATATAGTCTATGTTTTCTTATGGTCAAACTGATATCTCTCATACGATATTCTATACATGTCTTACTAATTTTATGCAATATTCCCTGTTAACCTTTTTTTTTTTTATTTTGTCTTCGTCATTACGTAAAAGAATGCGCATCGTGAGTTTTCTATTAAACTAGTGTGAGTTAATCTTACATAGGTTAGATAAAGATGTCCTTAGTTTAATCGTGAATTACATCTACTGTATAAAGGATATGTACTGTACATGAAGTTCAGAAATCAAGTAAACAGCCACGGAATTTAACATTTTTTCAGCATGGTTAATGTTATTCCATATACGTGAAATTCAGGGCCTGTAAAATTCTTCTGATGGTCGAGATCAATATGCTTAACCTTAGTCATATTACCGTTTCCAATATCAAATAATATAGCATAGATATTAATTAATATTTAGTATTTTATCGATTTTCATTACATCAAATCCACCCTTATTAACTAATGATTTTCACATAAAAATGATTTCTTAAATTTATTTACAGCTACTTCATAATTATAAAATTTAGAAAAGTAGTTACCTCAATTTTGAATATAGTTTACTCAAAGCAAATTGTATAGAAACGAAGAGAAATACTACCAAATATCCCATTAAAATAGTCCATCCATAATATTGCCATAACATCAGTATCGAAAAAATGATAAAGAAAGGCGCTGTAAATAAAAGTGCAATGGAGATAGTTTTCTGTAAGAAATGAAATAATTTGATTACAATTAACTTAAGTTTTAAAATAATTATTTTGGAAATCATAAAGTAAATCATGAACTTATTAATTAAGTATGCAATAACTAGTTTTATTTTTAAATAGAAAAATGGTATTTGTGACAATGACAGTACCTTTACAAAACTCTTGTATTATATCAAAAATAGGAAATTTTTAAATATAACTTTTTCTAAAAACTTCTATAAGTTGTTTAACTTCTATAGTTGTTTATAAATTATTTTAAATGACGGAAGTATTACTGTATATTTTGTATCTGCGTTTTTTTCATTTTTCTTACGTTTATTTTCACTGTTTCATCAGTGTAAAGATTACAGTGAGCATGAATACCTCTATTATGAAAAGTATCGGAAATATATAAATAGAAAGCAAAATCTAAGTTTAACCTCAGAATTTATTTTGTTCTTTTAAAATAATTTTTTCTTACATCAATAAAAATATCAACGTTTTGTAATCCTTGAAACATGCTGTAAAGTCGTTTTTTCGAACAATCCCTTCCGGACATGCAGCGAATTTTGTTTCGTGGCATCGCTGGTCTTCAACGGTTACAAATTACAAAGGAAATCACGTATCCACATTTGTACAGGGCAAGTGTTCTTCGATAAGCCATAGTTGAACAGAATGAAAAGTTTGATAGTTAAAGAAAGCAAAAAGACATTTCTTTTCACATTTCCTTTGATGAGTAGATTTTATCTGATTATTTTTCACCTGTGGAAGAAGTGTTACCTGTAGGATATTTTACAGGAAAAATTCAACAAAAAAACATTTCTTTCGTAGAATTTTTTAAAACAAAATAATTTTCTCTCGTTTCGGAACAAAAATTATAAAATATTAAGATCGTCGAAATAAAAATTAGCCTGAATTCTCACAATAGTATACGTTTGTTAACTATTGGATGCTAACCCTATCTTTTATATTAGTACTTTATTTTGTATAGCATGGATTCATGTAACACGACAGTTTTTCAGAACGTAACTACTGTGTTATACGACGGATACCTGCATTTAAATTTACAGGACATCCGTTACAAAAAATATTTATTTCCACGTGAACGTTATATAAACTCTCTCTTTTTATCGAGACCACTCCGTTAAATATGTAGGTTAATCCTGATATGTAACCTGTAACCTTTCTCTTTAAAGTTATTAAACGGTTATTTGTTATTAATCCTAGAGCCTGAGTGTAGTACTTTCAGTGCACAGTCTCTTATTCCATCTCCACCCTGAATCTGATCGCCTTTGCACGCAGCCTCTCGTATGATCTACGTCGAATCCGAATCAACATGCTCTATCGGCTTCCGTGTCAAACGAGACACGGTAGTGTCAGTCCTGACAAAGCCCTGAAGAGTTGCTGATCCTCCAATCACAGTGGTGTCAGAGCGGGAGAAAACTTCAGAATAAAGACAAATTGCAATAGAATGGAAGCAAGAGCAGAAGGATGTGCGTGAGGAGAGACAGCAGGAAGTAACACGTTAGGTAAACTTGATGGCATGATTCAGAAAATACCCTCTTTTTTTGGGAATGCTAATGGCATCAAGGTCACCAATTTCCTCAAATTACTAGATGAAATAGCTAAGTTAACCAATTAGGCAAAGGTGCAGTCTTTGGGAGTTTCCAAATTAAAATTGACAGGGGTAGACAGAGTTTGTGCATGGAAGGATGCGAAGATGAAAGAAATTGAAACACAATGTGTTTAAGAGACTCATGATCTAGAGTTTTGAAAAACAACTCTCTTTTTTTATGTTTGGAAAAATATTATGCTTTTGTTCAAGCATTGGATGAGGACATGCATACTTATGCAGTACGATTACAGACTTTAGCATCGGAAACGATTATAATACAGACTAGTGAGGACGCACGGGAGAAAGAAAATATTAAAAGGTGTCAATAAACGGAAAGATACAAACGATTGCTGGTGCAATTTTTGAATGGGCTCAATGATCAGATAAAGCGACAGGTAATGTCACGGAAACCTGATTCTTTCGATAAGACGGTGCAAGCAGCGATTAGAAAGGAAACTATAGAACATTTAAATGCGAAATAACGAGCAAAAGTACAAACTATAAATAACCCTGGAGACAATAAAGATGATCCTAACTCTACAACCCACAATCAATGAAAAAACTGGCAAAAATTCAAGAGCAAATTATAGCAACTAGCAGTCCAGGAACATAGTCAAGCTGACCCTAGACAGAGAGTGCCTCCATTTTGGCATTCTCGGGAATATACAGATTAACAACGACAATATCAACCCCGCGGAAGAATGCGCGATGACCTCCGATGCCCTTGTGAATCCATGTATTTGTAGATATAATTTAATATATCTACAAATACACCTCCTAATATTCTATAGCAAGTACAGGAAAAAAAGCAGATTATTGGCAGATAACATCGATAGCACAGTTTTTTACACTGTAATTGGTTAATTTCTTTGTCTGGTATTAAATCCACCTGTAAAAAACTATTGCCAGAAAAATTCGCGCAAAATGCCATGCCCCCTCAGATCTCAGATTATCACTTCGAATTACGTATACAGTTGTGGGTTCCCAGACGAGGTTCGAACTCAAGTAAACCGTAAAATTCTTGCGCGACACAAAATGTAAACAACGAGACTCGAAACGGTTTGACGTTTCGAGTCTCGTTGTTTACGGTAATGTGTCAAACTATCTGTCAAGATCTTAGTGGAAGACAAACTCTATCACGAGCGTTCATAAACAGGTAGATCTTTGACTCGCGTGTCTATAAAATGTTGGCCGAGATAAACCTTTCGAACAAAAAAAAAGGAAATTATTGATAGATGAAAAGTGAAAATGATCGTTAAATTCTTAGATGTAAAAGAAAAGGTAAATAACGGCCTGAGTTATAAGTGCGGGTGTTATTGTTTTATAAACAGTCACCAAGTAGAGTCGACAAAGAGGTATCAGACGGATGCCTCGAATCGGACCTTTCCCGCGACCCGAAAATGTTTCGTCTTGCACCTGGAGACAAAGGAGAAACCAATCGGGAAGCGAGGAATGGGACGAGAGACCAATCCGAAATACGAACAGTGGGAAAAAAACTATAAAAATCGGAACTTCAAGGCCGAAGAGGAGTCTCCTCTGGATTAAGCCTACCGTTGTAATTTAGATTGTGTTGTGCAACCGCTGATCACCCAGACAGACAGACAGACAGACAGACAAAATAAATTTTCTTATGCCCGACACCGCTAGGCACAGTCAGGATGAATATATACAGTGTGTACGGTACATAGAACTGACATGCCGAGCAGGAAAACCGACAGTGAGCGTAAAAGAAAAGAAAACAAAATACACGTAAATATAAAATCCTGATGTCAGGAGTCATGTGGTAAATAAAAGTGGGGAAAAACGTTTATCAACGTATTAATGTTCTGTTAAAGTAAAGCTTGACCATACTTTGAAAAAGGGAAAAGTACTTTTTACTCGACACTAAAATTTCCAGCTTACACGCCCAATTGAGATTATCTTCTTTCACATAATGTTTCAGCTCGTTCCTTGTGTCCTCCAGCAGTGGGCAAGACAAAAGATAATGCCTTACTCCATCATGCACATCGCAGTTTGGACAGCAGTCAGTGTCGCTGTGTAGAAACCGATGTAAGTATACAATAAATTTACCATGTTCTGAGAGCAGCTGTGACATCTGGTGTTGAGGGTGGACCCATTTCAAGCTGAGGCGTCTTGCTACGTCTGGGAAGAACTGCCGGGAAATGTGCTGCTATGGAATACGCTCCCATTTTTGTTGCCACGCTACAATTGTATGCTGCCAGAGGAGCTGCTTTTACCTTAAGAACGGTAAATGGCTGTACACTGGGTTGATGTCCCTGAAGGAGGTAGCCACACGTGCGAGGGAGTCTGCACGTTCGTTACCCGGAGTGCCGCAGTGACCCTTAATCCATTTGATACGATAATTATTACTGGACTGATCTGCAGAGAACAAAGTGTCCCTAGCAAGGAGATGAGTGGTATCTTTGTTAGTCAAGACTTGGACCGTGGCCTGGCTGTCAGTGAAAATAGTATTATTGTAGTTGCTGAAATTTTTATTACAGAATTCTATTTCTTTAAACACAGCAAACATATCTGCCTGAAACACTGAGCACTCCAGGTTCTGGGGAAAGCTGTCGTGATGAAATTCCTCACTACCGACATAAACAACAAAAGCACTTGCGGTGCCTTGCGCAGTCTTGGAGCCATCGGTAAAAACTTCGATGCTGGTAGCACAGTCATGAGCCCCAAGACCGCTTCTGAGTGCAGGATGCGGGAGGTCTGCAAAAGGTCTACTTATTTCGTAACAGAATGCGTCATATACGTTGCCCGAGATGGTAATACATTTACCATGGGAAAGAAGAAATTTGCCTGTACAGTAGGCCTACTGCATCTGCTGCAGGATGGGGAGCTTCCCAACAAGCACGGGAAGAGCAGCGTTAGACACGGTGGAATAACATCTGGTCAGGTGCAGGAGCACCAGACGTTGTGCTATTCTGAGACGCCGATGATTATGGGAATGGAAGGCAGCCTCTCCCCATACAGCAGAAGCATAACAAATAGTGGGCAAAAACACGCAGTCATAGATGGCATTGAGAGATACATGATCAAGACCCCATCTGCTCCTGGCAACTCGGAGCAGATTGTTAAAGATAAGGTTGGAATGGTTAGATACGTGCATAATGTGTTTCTTCCAGATTAACCTGTGATCAAAGATCACCAAGGAATATGACATGTTCCTCTATTTTAATGGAAGAGTCTCTGAAGTGTACACACGGAACACGTCGATACAAATCTGTTGATGAGTAGGCCGCTGTGAAAACAATGCTTTTAGTCTTTGTTGCATTGAATATTAACTTTTTACTGACATCCCATTCGTCTACTTTTGTCAAAATATCGTTGGCAGCAGACTCTATCGTGCGCCTAGAATTGGCCAGAAATACAAGAAAGGCATCATTGGCATAG